TCCAGGGTGTGATGAAATCTTAGTGCTATTTAATTTGCATTTCTCGAACGACCAGTGATGGTGAACATTTTTTCATATATTTTTACACAATTAAATTTTTTAAGCTGCTAAAAGGAGCTTTCATTCAAGTAGCTTTTCTTTTTTTTTTTTTTTTTTTTCTGTCTTTTTTGTTTTTATGGGATCGAACTCACGACTGCCTGCTTACAAGGCAGGCGCTTATGCCGCTGATCTAAATCCCCAGCCCCAGCTTTTCTAATTTCATCGAGCTCCCTTCTGTGCTTTTTCATTTTTTTGAGGGAGTGGGTGCTAAATAATTTATTTTAATGAATATGACTTTTTGTATCATATTAAAAATTTAAAAAAACAACAGGGACATCACTCCATGGTAGAGTCCTCACTTACAATGTTCAAGGCCATGGGTTCAAAAAATCAATACACAACAAAATACAAAGTATATGGTGGCTCGCTTCAGAGATGTCCTGGTTTGTTCTCTGGCAGTTTTGCTCCAGGATTTTTCTGCCCGTTCTCTGCTGTGTGCTCCTGGACTGTTCACAGTGAATGATCAGGAGCAGGGGGTGCGGGTTCCAGCGAGGTCGTTGCCCAGGAAAGGGGCCTGTGGCCACCCGCAGCTTCTGAGGTTGCAGGGACACGTGTGCAACCCCGCAGGCCTCACCTAGGCCATGCAGTGCCTGCCTCAGTGCATCTCTCTTGACCTCCTGGCTTGCCGGAGGACCACTGCAGGCTATTTTGTGGTCCTCCCACCGTTGTCCCTTCTCCTGCCTAGATGCTGATGCCATGAAGGTCTTGTGGCTAAGGATGGTGGACAGTTTGTTGTTATCCGCTGAGGATTTGAGATTTGTGAGAACATCTCATCACCTAACTTTGAGCTAAATCCCTTCCGAAGGTTTTCATTTCTCCTCTCTTATGGCTTGTCTTTTCTCTCTTCTTCCTCTTCCACTTCTTCCCTTTCTTTTTTTCTCCCTTCTCTCTCTGTCTCTGTGCATCTTTTTAAGACAAGTCTCACAATGTACTTCAGGCTGTCTTTGAACTCACTTTGTAGCCCAGGCTGCCTTGGCCTTGGAATCCTGCCTCAGCTTCCCGTGTGCTAGGATTACAGGCATGCAACACCATACCCAGTGAATCCATAGCGTGGGAGATCCAAAAACGATATTTCCACTGCTGTTGCCATTTTTCCAGAGTGATCTCTAAAAGATGCCGGATTGTGCTGTTTCTGTGTTCAGGTTCCTGAACTGCCTCTCTGTCTCACGCCAAGTGAAAACCAGTGTCCTTCAAAAGGCTCAGGAGGCCAGCACACTGCTCCTCTGCTTTTTCCTCCTCTGCTCCCTGCCTGCCCATCCTGGGGCTCCTTCCCTCCCCACCCCTCAGGCGTGCCTCAAGCCCACTTCTGCCCCAGCCTTTCCCTACCTTGAGTGCACTTCCCCAGATAGAAGCCTGGCTCAGCCAACACTTCGTTCATGTCTTTGTACCTGTCAGCTCACTAAGTCTACCCACCCTAATGCTGCCACCCCTCCCCCAGCACATGATTTCACCTTTATTCTGACCTGTTTTTCCTTTGTCCCAGTTAATACCTTCTAGCACACTAAACACCACTTGTTATGTCTGCTTTTAACTCTGTCTTCCTCTGCTAGAACGGAACCGGTGGAGTCAGGAATGTTAATCTGCTTTGTTCCCTGTGTGCCTCCAGCACCGAGGATGTCTGTCCCCTGCAGCTGTTTACTGCACGCAGGGACAGCCAATGCCTGTCCCCACGCACAGCAGTGCTGTGAGCCAGGCTGGGGAGCTCCTTCCAGCTGTGTCACCACCTCTTCCACCCCTGCCCAGAGCCTGCAAGGCCATGGACCAGCCTCAGTTTGAATGGGTGCAGACCATGCAGGGCTGGCAGTGGCGACCTGAGACTTGTAGATTCCCAGAAGGCAAAGAATGTCAGAATCATTCCTTCTGTGACTTCTGGGTTCAGCCCAAGCCAAAAATACCACCCCGGCTCCATCCTTTCTAGCGCTTCAGCCCGTTTGCTGCTCAGTGCAGCCTTCAGGCTGAGAAGTGGGAGAAGAGGAAAACATAGCACCTCACCCCACCAGCCCTGGCTTGTGGGTGCAGGCACTAAGGGAGGCTAGACACAGGATTTGCTGCACGGTCCCCCGTTGATGCCTCCCGGGTATTCCTTACTTAATGTGCCCAGCCTGGCCTGGGGAGCAGATGCTGGTATCCATCTCCTGGCTGTTCTAGCATAACCAATGTGGCACTGGCCAGCAGTGCCAGGCAGCCTCACCACTGGAGCATACCTAGCAAGTCTCAGGCAGGGGGACACACCCTGACACCTTCCTGCCTTGCTTTGAGACAAGAAGGCTTCCTGTGGAGGTTAGGTTTCCTCCTAAATTCTGATTGGCCTTGGAAAACAGTCCCTGACCTTGGGTGTTTATGGAATCAGTATCCCATTAAAAGCTTCCAAACTCATTGGCTGGGTCAGGAAAACAAGATAAAAGTCAAAACTTGAGGACTTTGCCAGTTGTAAGCTTAAGGTCTTTAGCACTTTTTTTCCTCAGTCCTTATTAAAGTGGAAACTACAAACACAGCAACCAAGATTAGCTCACACCTTCTTTTTGGCATGGTACATCTACCGTGGCACTATTGGGGACTAAACTCAGGGTACACCGAGTTACATCCCCATTCCCAACACTGTGTGTGTGTGTGCGTGTGTGTACAGTGTTTTACTAAACTGCCCAGGCTGGACTTGAATTTGCAATCTTCCCAAGTCTCAGCTTCCCAAGTGTCTGAGATTACAGGTGTGCATCACGACTCACAGAAGCATATTTTGAAGCCCTGCTTTTCTCTTTTCCCCTCCTTAGTCCCCAGGGGTACATGAACAGTGCTTGAACAATCAAAATGAGTGGGCTCTATTTCCAGCTATGAGAAAAAAAAGCCAAGGATTCCCAAACCCCCAAGGATCTGAAACTCAGGTCATCCTCAAGGTTTCTAAAGTTTTCCTAAACTAGACTAAATTCCTGGTCTTCTCACTACCACAAAGGTCCCCAGTTCAGCAGAAAAAGTGATAAATATATACTGTGTATGATGCGTAATGAAAGGTTTGGCCCAGACAGGACACTGTAGCCAGGAAAGCCACAACCGGAAGCAGGAAGCCCCATCTTGCCCTGCCCCTAGGAAGTTACCTGTGACGCCATCTTCCTGCCCCTGGGAATTTACATATGGCGCCAAACCTAGGACCAATGGGCTACCTGTGTATCCCTAATGCCCGCCTTAGGTTCCACCCCAAACCGAGGCTATTTACAGGCCCCCACGCCGCGTGTCCGCCGGAGAGATTGCCGGACGCCAGCGGTGGGGTGCCGGTCATCTCTCTCCATGTTCTCAGAATAAAGGCCGCTTTTTATTTTATATTTCTCATCTTTTGTTAATATTTTTCATCTTTTGGAAATAACTCTATCATTTGGTGCCGTGACTCAATCGGCAGGCAACTGACTCTTGGGCCACATACCCAGAGTTTCCTCGCCGATAACCAGATAACATCCTGGATTAATCCCGAGCTTTTTCCTCTCCCGAGACGTTCCTGTCGCCAGCCGCCTGCACTCCGCATCGGCCAGACTGATTTCAGGTGAGCACTCCCCGGGGAACTTTTCGCACTGGGCAGCCCCAGTGGAATGTTCTCCCCGTCTGCGTGGGTCTGTGCATTTTCACGTCCTTAGGACCGCCCAGGGCAGGGTTCTTTCTGGGCAAACCTGCACCCACAAAATCTCTCACGTTCTTTGGGTTCGGATAGCCCAAAGCAGAGATTTTTGGGACCGCCCACACTGAAAGAATGCCTCACTTCCCTTAAAGCCTTGCGCTTTCACGGGCAAAACTGTTACTGATCCCACGTAGACTCCATTCGTAAATCTCAGTGACGACTGGAGTTTACGGTTTGGAACCGTAGCCGCCGCATGGTACCACAAATAAGTGACGACTTTTTTCTGGACCTCCGGTTTTTTTTTCTTGCCTGAATCAGTCATGGGGAACGTATTTTCTAACTCCCAAAAGACGCCTTTAAAATGCCTAATTTCCAATTTACGTGCTCTAAAACTTAAAGGTACCATAAAAACTAAACAACTAACTTTTTACTGCCAGGAGGTCTGGCCAACCTACCCGCTTATCGGCAAGCCTTGGCCTCGGCAAGGAACATTTGACCCCTGCATTCTCAGGAACTTGTATGATTTTTGTCAAGCTGGCAACAAGTTATTAGAACTCCCTTATGTCCAAGCCTTTCTTATTCTGAGAACACGCCCATCTCTCATTAAGTCTTGTGCTCCAGCTGAGATACTTTTAGCTAAGTCTACTGCGCCGCAAACTTTTCCGTCCTGCCCTCCAGTGTTTTTCCGGCCGCCGCCTGCCTACCACCAAACTCGTTCCCTGCTGTTACCTCCCGCCGGACCGCTCTCTCCTCCCCCTCTGCCTGATTCTCTCAGCAGCTCTAATCCCTCTCCTTTGTTGCAGATACCTCCCGCGGTGCGATCGTCTCCCTCTCCACCTTCCAGGATCCATAACTCTCCCAGCAGCTCTAATCCCTCTGTGTTGCAGTTATCTCCCGATGTTCCATCCTCTCTCTCTCCGTCTCCAGGGACCCATATCTCTCCCAGCGGCTCTGATCCTTCTGTTAGCGCTTCCTCGCAGTCTCCGACTTCCTCTCCTGAGAATTCTGTATCCCCTACAGCATTCTCACCGCCCGCCCACTGTACTAGGTCTCCGTCGCTGTGTCCTTCCAGCAGGTCGCGTGATTGTTCCAGCTTGCGCGGGGAACAGTCGCCATGTTACAACCCTCTGCCACATGGCATGGCACCGCCATGTTCCAGAGGGCCACATGGCGACAGGGCGCCGCCATGTTCCCAGGCGCCGCCATGTTTTGGGTCACGTGACAGGGCGCCGCCATGTTTACAGGGCCCTCACTGTCAACAGGCGTCTCCTTGTGGCTCCTCTTGTGGACTACTGAAAGGTTTGGCCCAGACAGGACACTGTAGCTAGGAAAGCCACAACCGGAAGCAGGAAGCCCCATCTTGCCCTGCCCCTAGGAAGTTACCTGTGACGCCATCTTCCCGCCCCTGGGAATTTACATATGGCGCCAAACCTAGGACCAATGGGCTACCTGTGTATCCCTAATGCCCGCCTTAGGTTCCACCCCAAACCGAGGCTATTTACAGGCCCCCACGCCGCGTGTCCGCCGGAGAGATCGCCGGACGCCAGCGGTGGGTGTTGCCGGTCATCTCTCTCCGTGTTCTCAGAATAAAGGCCGCTTTTTATTTTATATTTCTCATCTTTTGTTAATATTTTTCATCTTTTGGAAATAACTCTATCATTTGTTGCCGTGACTCTATCGGCAGGCAACTGACTGTTGGGCCACATACCCAAAGTCTTCTAGCCGATAACCAGATAACATCCTGGATTAATCCCGAGCTTTTTCCTCTCCCGAGACGTTCCTGTCGCCAGCCGCCTGCACTCCGCATCGGCCAGACTGATTTCAGGTGAGCACTCCCCGGAGAACTTTTCGCACTGGGCAGCCCCAGTGGAATGTTCTCCCCGTCTGCGTGGGTCTGTGCATTTTCACGTCCTTAGGACCGCCCAGGGCAGGGTTCTTTCTGGGCAAACCTGCGCCCACAAAATCTCTCACGTTCTTTGGGTTCGGATAGCCCAAAGCAGAGATTTTTGGGACCGCCCACACTGAAAGAATGCCTCACTTCCCTTAAAGCCTTGCGCTTTCACGGGCAAAACTGTTACTGATCCCACGTAGACTCCATTCGTAAATCTCAGTGACGACTGGAGTTTACGGTTTGGAACCGTAGCCGCCGCGTGGTACCACAAATAAGTGACGACTTTTTTCTGGACCTCCGGTTTTTTTCTTGCCTGAATCAGTCATGGGGAACGTATTTTCTAACTCCCAAAAGACGCCTTTACGATGCCTAATTTCCAATTTACGTACTCTAAAAATTAAAGGTACCATAAAAACTAAACAACTAACTTTTTACTGCCAGGAGGTCTGGCCAACCTACCCGCTTATCGGCAAGCCTTGGCCTCGGCAAGGAACATTTGACCCCTGCATTCTCAGGAACTTGTATGATTTTTGTCAAGCTGGCAACAAGTTATTGGAACTCCCTTATGTCCAAGCCTTTCTTATTCTGAGAACACGCCCATCTCTCATTAAGTCTTGTGCTCCCGCTGAGATACTTTTAGCTAAGTCTACTGCGCCACAAACTTTTCCGTCCTGCCCTCCATTGTTTTCCCAGCCGCCGCCTGCCTACCACCAAATTCGTTCCCTGCCGTTACCTCCCGCCGGACCGCTTTCTCCTCCCCCTGTGCCTGATTCTCTCAGCAGCTCTAATTCCTCTCCATTGCAGATACCTCCCACTGTACGATCGTCTCCCTCTCCGCCTTCCAGGACCCATAGTTCTCCCAGCAGCTCTAATCCCTCTGTGTCGCAGTTATCTCCCGATGTTCCATCCTCTCCCCCGCCTTCTCCTGGGACCCATAACTCTCCCAGCAGCTTTAATCCCTCTGTTAGTGCTTCCTCACAGTCTCCGACTTCCTCTCCTGAGAATTCTGTATCCCCTACAGCATTCTCACCGCCTGCCCACCATACTAGGTCTCGCTCGCTATGTCCTTCCAGCAGGTCGCGTGATTGTTCCAGCTTGCGCAGGGAACAGTCGCCATGTTGCAACCCTCTGCCACGTGGCATGGCGCCGCCATGTTCCGGAAGGCCACATGGCGACAGGGCGCCGCCATGTTTCGGGTCACGCGACAGGGCGCCGCCATGTTCCCAGGCGCCGCCATGTTTCGGGTTACGTGACAGGGCGCCGCCATGTTTACAGGGCCCTCACTGTCAACAGGCGTCTCCTTGTGGCTCCTCTTGTGAACTACAACAGCCGCCCTGTTGCAGTGCACATGACGCTTCATTGTGCTGCCGACAGCAGTCCTATAGCTGGGAGACACACAGTGAGACGCCATCTGCTCGTGTTTCCCAGGGTGACCGGCAGCAGCTCTGTAGCTGCTCTACAGATGATTGCTCACATGCGCCTACTGGAAGGATGGCTGCTCAGTGGCCCTCTGCTCTGGAATCTCCTCAGGCTCTGCTACCACTTCGGGAGCAAGCTGGCCCCGAGAAACTTGTTAACATCCATGTGCCTTTTTCCCTTTCTGATCTATCCCAGATTACTCTTAAATTAGGTAGCCTCTCTGTTAACCCACAAAATTATATCCAGCAATTTAAATTTATTACTAATTGTTATGATTTACATTTTAAGGATGTTTATGTGATTCTAGATACCTCTCTCATCTCACAAGAACGGAATCAGCTGTGGCAAGCAGTTCGAGAAAAAGCTGATCACAGACATGAGGTAAACACCGCTGATAATGACTCTAGGCCTATAGCTGTGCCAGAGCAGGACAAGCATACTAACTATAACAAACTTTTAAAACAGGTCCAGGAAGCTATTCAAAACCCAGCTGTGTTCCTAAATTGGCTTTCTAATCCTCGTGCCCTGCAAGCAGTTCCAGCTTCGCGCGCTGTGTCAGGCCGCCTCCCAGCCCCTCCCCCATGCGCCGTCCCAGCCCCTCCCTCCCCCATGCGCCATCGTCGCCGCTGCCACCTTACACGTTTCCGGGGGCAGTCCGAGCCCGCCCCTGCGCGCTACATCCCAGCGCTTGCCCCACCCACTGGGCGTGCTCTGCCAGAGCGCCGCGAAACAGCAGCTCAGCTGCTCTGCTCAGGCATGCTTTTTTTACAATTTGGCTCCACTCAAAAGATGCTTTTTTATTACAGTTCTCAAACCATTTAATCAAGGTTATTGGCCACCTGATAATTTTACCAGCCTTGTTTATCAATCAAAGCCTTCACCAATCTCCCGTGTAACAACTAAGGTTATAAATTCCTTTTTGCTGGGAACCACTAGCTCTATTTCAAGACAAGGGTTTTCTTCAAAGTTTTATTTTATTTGTCTTGGTTCATACTACTGCAAATAACAACTTTAAAAGTAAATGTGTTCAGAATTTGACAGTATTAGATCAGTTTTGATTTATTCATAAGATTGCTAAACCTTTACTGCAAAACGTTTCCATTAAAGCCTTGTTTGGCAAACTAAAGCTTTGTTAATTCTACGTGTCACCCTATAAAAAAAAAGTGATATTCCTGCATATTTACTTAATTCTACTATAGTCCAAATCCCAAACAAAAAGACAAAACTTGACCTTCAAACCTTATAGAGATCTTAATATGGTTTTTCATATTTTTAACACTTGTGACACTTGGAGTTCTGAGACAGGTAAACCTACACAAGGTGGAGCTGCCTGCCCCCTCCATGGACCACGCTCAAATGCAGCAGAAGATACTGGACAAGAAAATGCCCCATCCTGGCATTCTTTGAGACCTTACTCCAGGGCCGCTGGACTGTCCTAGCCACCAGAGAGTGGGTAAGCCATCCTAAGTTCTAGCCCTCACAGGAAATGTCGACACTGCCAGATTCGTCACCGACAGAAAATCGCTGCTGGAGGCTGAGGGGGTTCAGGGCAACAACAGCCCCCTTTAAGGTGTCCGTCTCGGATTCCAAGTCGTACTAAAGTCTCAGGTAAGACATTCTCTATATTTGTGGACATAGAGGCCATATATACAGAGTTCTTCCTGAGTATTCAGGCTGCTATATTAAGTCCTCAATCTCTATGATGGGGTATTGATGGTCAACCTATGCCATTTACAAACAGGGCCTATTTTGTGCAGGTCCCAGTCTTCTCACTTGGTTTATACTTTTTCAGGATGCATAAGAGCCTTTCTCATACTTGCTAAAGTTCTGTTACAGCAAATCATTCCAAGGACAACAACCAGGTTGCAGCGACCCATGTCTAAATCAAAGTTGCTAGACTGCCATCCTGGTTTCACATCACTCAGGCTAAGAGGTGCCCTTCCAGCCCTAAATCTGATCATTCTGAGTGGTCATCTCATCTCCTGTCGCCTACCTGTCTCTGTCTCACAAAGGCCTCGCAGCCACAGTTAACAGGCTAAGTCATGTTTTGTTATCCACCTTGGTTCCTAATTTCTTACATTCTATTAATGATCATTTTTACAGCAGGACTCTTTAACAGTATTGCCTACAGACTCCAACATCATGCATACCAGAGACAAGCCTCACCAAACTACTGTCTTAACTTTTATGCTTTCAGATGGGGGAGTAATCACCTCTCATAACTCCACTCCTCCTAACCCCACGTTTAATTTTCAGAATTCTGCCTTACCTTGGAACATGTCTAAATCAAATGCAGCCTTCTACCTCACCTGGGTCCTTAAATATGACAGTGCCATGTCTCCTCATAACATCTTGTCTCTTTGTTTTTCCAGTCTGACATACGTGCATTCACCAGTGAAGTTGTCCTGGCCAAAACACCTGGTACCAGCGTCTACCTGGGCATCAACCTTCATCCCGTCGACTCCCCTAGGCTCCAGTACAGCGCCCTTTGCCAGCAGGAAGTAGTTAAAGAGAGAAATCTTCGCCCCTTTTCATAATAATAACCATAAGACGGGATATGAAAGGTTTGGCCCAGACAGGACACTGTAGCTAGGAAAGCCACAACCGGAAGCAGGAAGCCCCATCTTGCCCTGCCCCTAGGAAGTTACCTGTGACGCCATCTTCCCGCCCCTGGGAATTTACATATGGCGCCAAACCTAGGACCAATGGGCTACCTGTGTATCCCTAATGCCCGCCTTAGGTTCCACCCCAAACCGAGGCTATTTACAGGCCCCCACGCCGCGTGTCCGCCGGAGAGATCGCCGGACGCCAGCGGTGGGGGTTGCCGGTCATCTCTCTCCGTGTTCTCAGAATAAAGGCCGCTTTTTATTTTATATTTCTCATCTTTTGTTAATATTTTTTATCTTTTGGAAATAACTCTATCACTACAACAGCTGCCCTGTTGCAGTGCACATGACGCTTCATTGTGCTGCCGACAGCAGTCCTCTAGCTGCAAGGCACACAGTGAGACGCCATCTGCTCGTGTTTCCCAGGGTGACCGGCAGCAGCTCTGTAGCCGCTCTACAGATGATTGCTCACATGCGCCTACCGGAAGGATGGCTGCTCAGTGGCCCTCTGCTCCGGAATCTCCTCAGGCTCTGCTACCGCTTCGGGAGCAAGCTGGCCCCGAGGGGCTTGTTAACATCCATGTGCCTTTTTCCCTTTCTGATCTATCTCAGATTACCCTTAAATTAGGTAGCCTCTCTGTTGACCCACAGAATTATATCAGGCAATTTAAATTTATTACTAATTGTTATGATTTACATTTTAAGGACGTTTATAATGACTCTGGGCCTATAGCTGTGCCAGAGCAGGACAAGCATACTAACTATAACAAACTTTTAAAACAGGTCCAGGAGGCTAATCAAAACCCAGCTGTGTTCCTAAATTGGCTTTCTAATCCTCGAGCCCTGCGAGCAGTTCCAGCTTCGCGCGCTGTGTCGGGCCGCCTCCCAGCCCCTCCCCCATGTGCCGTCCCAGCCCCTCCCTCCCCCATGCGCTGTCGTCGCCGCTGCCACCTTACACGTTTCCGGGGGCAGTCCGAGCCCGCCCCTGCGCGCTACATTCCAGGGCTTGCCCCACCCACTGGGCGTGCTCTGCCGGAGTGCCGCAAAACAGCAGCTCAGCGGGTCTGCTCAGGCATGCTTTTTTTTACAATTTGGCTCCGCTCAAAAGATGCTTTTTTATTACAATTCTCAAACCATTTAATCAAGGTTATTGGCCACCTGATAATTTTACCAGCCTTGTTTATCAATCAAAGCCTTCACCAATCTCCTGTTTAACAACTAAGGTTATAAATTCCTTTTTGCTGGGAACCACTAGCTCTATTTCAAGACAAGGGTTTTCTTCAAAGTTTTATTTTATTTGTCTTGGTTCATACTACTGCAAATAACAACTTTAAAAGTAAATGTGTTCAGAATTTAACAGTATTAGATCAGTTTTGATAGATTTATTCATAAGATTGCTAAACCTTTACTGCAAAATGTTTCCATTAAAGCCTTGTTTGGTAGACTAAAGCTTTGTTAATTCTACGTGTCACCCTAAAAAAAAAAAAGCGATATGCCATCCAGATAAAGCCTGCTCTCTAATCCAAAATGCCAATATTAAATTCCTGCATACTTACTTAATTCTACTATAGTCCAAATCCCAAACAAAAAGGCAAAACTTGACCTTCAAACCTTATAGAGATCTTAATATGGTTTTTCATATTTTTAACACTTGTGACACTTGGAGTTCTGAGACAGGTAAACCTACACAAGGTGGAGCTGCCTGGCCCCTCCATGGACCATGCTCAAATGCAGCAGAAGATACTGGGCAAGAAAATGCCCCATCCTGGCATTCTTTGAGACCTTACTCCAGGGCTACTGGACTGTCCTAGCCACCAGAGAGTGGGTAAGTCATCCTAAGTAATAGCCCTCACAGGAAATGTCGACACTGCGATTCGTCACCGACAGAAAATTGCTGCTAAAGACTGAGAAAGTTCAGGGCAACAACAGCCCCCTTTAAGGTGTCCGTCTCAGATTCCAAGTCGCACTAAAGTCTCAGGTAAGACATTCTCTATATTTGTGGACATAGAGGCCATATATACAGAGGTCTTCCTGAGTATTCAGGCTGCTATATTAAGTCCTCAAGCTCTGGGGGTATTGATGGTCAACCTATGCCATTTACAAACAGGGCCTATTTTGTGCAGGTCCCAGTCTTCTCACTTGGTTTATACTTTTTCAGGATACATAAAAGCCTTTCTCATACTTGCTAAAGTTCTGTTACAGCAAATCATTCCAAGGACTACAACCAGGTTACAGTGACCCATGCCTAAATCAAAGTTGCTAGACTGCCATCCTGGTTTCACATCACTCAGGCTAAGAGGTGCCCTCCCAGCCCTAAATCTGATCATTCTGAGTGGTCATCTCATCTTCTGTCGCCTACCTGTCTCTGTCTCACAAAGGCCTCGCAGCCACAGTTAACAGGCTAAGTCATGTTTTGTTATCCACTTTGGTTCCTAATTTCTTACATTCTATTAATGATCATTTTTACAGCAGGACTCTTTAACAGTATTGCCTACAGACTCCAACATCATGCATACCAGAGACAAGCCTCACCAACCTACCGTCTTAACTTTTATGCTTTCAGATGGGGGAGTAATCACCTCTCATAACTCCACTCCTCCTAACCCCACGTTTAATTTTCAGAATTCTGCCTTACTGTGGAAATGTTTCTACCTCATCATGGTCCTGATAGAATGATATGTCTAAATCAAAGGCATCTTTCCTTCTACCTCACCTGGGTCCTTAAATATGACAGTGCCATGTCTCCTCATAACATTTTGTCTCTTTGTTTTTCCAGTCTGACATACGTGCATTCACCAATGAAGTTGTCCTGGCCAAAACACCTGGTACCAGCGTCTACCTGGGCATCAACCTTCATCCCGTCGACTCCCCTAGGCTCCAGTACAGCGCCCTTTGCCAGCAGGAAGTAGTTAAAGAGAGAAATCTTCGCCCCTTTTCATAATAATAACCATAAGACGGGATATGAAAGGTTTGGCCCAGACAGGACACTGTAGCCAGGAAAGCCACAACCGGAAGCAGAAAGCCCCATGTTGCCCTGCCCCTAGGAAGTTACCTGTGACGCCATCTTCCTGCCCCTGGGAATTTACATATGGTGCCAAACCTAGGACCAATGGGCTACCTGTGTATCCCTAATGCCCGCCTTAGGTTCCACCCCAAACCGAGGCTATTTACAGGCCCCCATGCCGCGTGTCCGCCGGAGAGATTGCCGGACGCCAGCGGTGGGGTGCCGGTCATCTCTCTCCGTGTTCTCAGAATAAAGGCCGCTTTTTATTTTATATTTCTCATCTTTTGTTAATATTTTTCATCTTTTGGAAATAACTCTATCACGTAAGACATCTTAGTTCTAGCATGTGAATCCTCTGGGATAAACACACTGCCATAATTTTACAGATCAGAAAACTGAGCATTTTCTGTCTCCAGGGTTATCCAGCTAGGAAAAGACCCCATAAATGCTTTGTGCCTTGTGAGATCTTCCTGCCAGTCCACACAGGAGTTTGGTTGAAGGAAATAGACCTTTCAAAAAGTCTGTGCATCCTGGTTTCCCCACGAGAGCTCTGACTGGCATCTAGCATCTTAGTGCAATTATAAATATTACCCTCCTTTCAAAATTATCTTAGGACAATAAATTACATAGTCATCCTGCCCACTATGCACAAAGAGCAGAAAAATAGAAAAATTAGAAATAGTTTTGCTCTCGAGCTCACTCCGTAAGGCATGGAGGAGGCCCAAAAGGGCTGTGAGGGTCTTTGCTTTCCCCCCACCCCACCTTCTCCTGTTGGCACCCCAACCCTGATGCCTCCACACTGTTTGTGCCTCTCCTCAACCAGTGCCAGAGCTATGATGTGTCGGACAAGAGGAAAGAGGTTGAAGGGTGCCAAGTGCTCCTACTACTCCAGGTGACCTTTCTAGGAGGTCCTTGGATTGCTACAAGAAATGAATGCTCCTGGTAACAGGTCAGGAACTCATTCCTGTGCAGAGGAAAGCTGAGAGACAAGTCTTTCTTCTCAGTAGGGAAGAAAATAAAGTCTGAGCAGATCTTTTATTCGACAGTGGAGCCTCCGCTGTGATTCTCTGCTATGACATACTAGAATGAACAATCGAAAGGGCAGACAGACATTTAGAAATCAGAGACCTGAGCTTGTCTTTTAACTTACCCATGTATATTAGTTGAGTAACCTTTGGAAAGTAACTCAAAATCTATGAGCTCAAACTATCTAACTTATATGGGAAAGTTTAAGAATGCTTACTTTAGCCTTGTGCAGTGGCACATGCTTGTAATCCCAGCACTCTGAAGACTGAGTCAGGAGGATTGCTGAGTTCCAAGTCATCCTGGGCTACATAGTTTGAGGCCAGCCTGAGCTAAAGTGAGACTTTGTCTCCAAAAAATAAACAACTTAAAAAAGTACTAGAGATGTAGTTCAGTGTTAAGGCCTGGGTTTAATATCTAGTACTAAAAATAAAAACAAAACCAAAATGCCTACTTTGAATGTAGTTGCAAAATTTCTAGCTAAAGTATGTGAGACACGTGTGGTATATAAGAAGCATCTAGGCAATGATGATGACAATGATGATGATGGTGATAAAATTAACCATTGTTGTCACCCATCCATCCATCCATCCATCTATCTGTCCATCCATGCACCTGTCCTAATGACTTTCTCTTGAGAACTTATGCCCACAGGTTCCCTTCTCAGGAGTGCACGGTCTGATCAGCCATAAGCCTGTGACACTGAGCATATCATGGTGACCTATGATAGGGCATTCAAGTAAGGCCTGGGCTCTGCAGCAGGTGAGCCTCAGTCTTACAGACAAGCACTCCAACTCCCACCCCCCAGCCTGCCTAACACACAGACCTGAGGCTGTGCAGAGGGACAGAGTGTCAAAGGTCACTGACTTTTGGGAAAACAAAAGCATTCAGGAGATAGACTGTGAGGATAGCCACACACCAATTGTGCAATTGTGCTAATGCCGCTGAATTGTACACTCAAAAGTGGGTTAAGATAGCAAGTTTGTTTGTTTTTGAGAGGTTCTCCCTGTGTAGTACACACTGACCTTGAACTCATGGCAATCCTCCTGCTTCAGCCTCCCAAATTCTGGGATTGCAGGTGTGTACCACTACAAATAACAGCAAATTTTGTGGATGCATAGTTTACAAAAAATATATATCTATGAATAAACAGCTCCTGAAGTCTCTGAAGAGCTTCAGAAACCAGGAAAAAAAGAAAAATAAAAAAAGAAAAGAAATTACCCTTTTGTTGAATGTATTT